AACTAGAATTATGGCTCAGTAAGACTCTGGTTACACCAATCAACTGCGAGCTCATGTCGTTGGTCAATAAAAAATGACCGATTAATGAATGCGAGTTACGATAAATCAAAACTAAAGAAAGAATGGTTCCATACCCAAAATCGAGGAAAAAACGTCACGTTTGTTATCCAATCCACCACCACGTTGAGATTCGATTCTAAGCCTAAACCCCAGGAGTTCCACCAAAAGATAATGTTAAAGAAGTAAGATAAAACGAAATACGGTTATAACATCACTAATATGTCGTATCCTATGTCGAAAATCATGGCTAGACTTGGACGGTCGCATCCCTGTTCTCGGTATTTGAGTATTTGATATGTAGGTAAGGTATGTCTGTTTGGTCTCCAATAGTAGGGACTTTAACAGGCTGATGATGTGAGAATTTATAACAATGTAAATATCATTTGTGCCAAGCAGGGGCGGTAGTTGGAGTATCAATTCAGCGAGTATAAGCTACGTGTGATTGTCTATTGTTAAAAATGTCTTACATAACGTTGCGTAACATGTAAAATGAGGAAGTCGATTTACATTTTTATTGTTATGAATTAAGTATATACTAGTTGTTTTAGATGTTATAATAAATGTGTATGACGTGTAAAATTAATGTCCGCTTAATGAGTCCGTAATTAAAACAGAATATTATTAATAAATCATAGCTTAGAGTTTATTGTGGATAGTCGTTTTTGTTTCAGTCACCAATCCTTCTATCTATCGAAACATCGAGGACTTTGCATCGATCATTCGCACAACATTTCCCTACTAACAGAGGTCTGCTCACGGTGGTGGTGTGTAGCGTGATGCGTGGTCTTGTGTACATGCTTGGGCTAATCAGTAATCATGATACCATGATTACGTCTTTAGGACGAAATTTTGATTGCCTGAAGATGATTAATAATAAAATTATATGGAAACGTACAACTTTTTAGGAACCATTTGACCTGTTGAGCGATCCTATAAAAATCAGAACACAAATCAGAATTTACTCAGGTATCCGAATTCGAAAGCGACATTCGCTTAACTTTTTATTTGTATTAACGTTTCGTTGCATAAACGAAGTGAGTTACAAAATGACATACGGATAGAATATCTGAGACACGTATGAATCAAGAAATCATTTTTAGTATTTTTATACAAAAAATGGAATCGATAGAATTTTTACTCTAATATATGTTAAGCGGATTCGCTTTCGAACTGGGTCCCCTGAGCGAAGTCAAATTCGGGTTCGGATTTTTACGGAATCGCTCTGCTGATAAATTTTTGAGGATCATATTGATAAGACTATTGAGATTGGTCTGGCATCAGTGGCGGACTAACCCTGTCGGGGGTCCGGGGCGCCCCCCCCCCCTTAGTCTGGCATTATTAAAAAAATGCATTTGTTTGTTTGGGTGGATTTCTGAACATTGATGGAAATACGCTCTGTAGTAGCGAAAAACTAATAAGTACTTGACAAATTCGTTAGTCTTGTTCAGTTCTTGGTTCGGTCCGGATTGCGAAAGTGGATATTTGAAGGTTTTTTTTCATTAAAAATATTTTGCAGTATAGCATTGTGAATTCAAAATTGATCAAATATAATAAAATAGCATTCTGTTTTTCTTGTCTGTTTTTATTTGCTGTGCCTCATATGGGTACAAAGTTTTTGTTATAAAATATTAATATATTCAATCGCACGCATTTCCGATGTCATTTCTCATTCTACCACAGGGAAAAGGAAGTGAACTATTCGATATACACGGACTTTTAACGCACATTACGTACTTTTCCGGCTTTATTGATTCAAGCTAAAATAATAATATTTTTGAGACGTTTTTGAGCTCAATTTTTTTTCTATTCATAATATTTATTAAAATTGGTATAAACCTTCGTGTTATATAAATGCTGTAGAGATTTGAATAAGAAAGGAAGCAAAGAGTAGTTGTTGAGGTAGTTGAGAAAAATCGAAAAATATATATACGTAATAAATTACCTACAAATAATAAATAACTTCCTAAATCCGGATGAGGATTTCTTGGCTATGCTTTTTACCGCTCGACTCCAAAATGAAGTGTCTTGACCACCACATAAGCACAGACAAAGTTCTCATGAATAATCTTTGATTTTTCAAAGTAAATCAATGTGATCGTTTATCACATTGAATTATGAAGATGTGAATTTACAGATTTTTTAATTTATCAATGTATATTTTATCAAGCAAATATACATTGGTTGTATATTTGTACTACTAATGATTTTTCTAATGTTTTTTTTTGTGGAATAATATGCCTATACTTTTCAACAAAAAAAAAAGATTCATCAAAGTTAATCTACTATTGAGAAAAGAAAATATTTAGTCTAATTGAGAACCTCGTTCATTTTTGTCATTCCTAAAGATTCAGGTTAGAATTATTTTTCATCGTCATTTAGTTCACATCGTGTTGCTATTAGCTTTGCCTAAGGTCTCCAAGTACTTGCGAAACACCTGTGATTATGCACCGTACACAAGGACGATCCAAACGCGACTTTCTATAAGGCCGCCTACATACTGGCAACGACGTCGTGGACCGGGTCACCTATTTGTTGCATTCCGTGTCCGCGGGGCCAATTTTAGAATGCAGCTAAATGTAGTCAGACTTTCTATGTAATACTGGTAATTAGCGCTTGCATATTGATAACTTAATAATTTAAATATTCACGTACCTATTTTACGACTTTCGGCTAAATAGGTTGAATAAATAATTTTAGGAGGAATTAGATTAATAAAAATTAGAGCAGTCGCCCGGATTACGAAAGGTCATAGGTTCGAATCACAATAATCGTAATAATTAAGAATACTAATAATATAAAAGCTAATTATAAAAAGGGAAAACAAATTATGTTGTTTATAATTTTATTTAACTATCAGCCAGTTGCAGACACGTACATTAAAATTTAGTTTAGTTTAAAGCGAGTTTACCCATACATTTTTGACATTTATTAGAGCTTTAAGACGCCATTAAACATTAATGGACGTTTTTGCAACATACTGTGATTCCATTAAAATTACCTTTGCATCAGAGGTAATGTCAGGTTCTAACTCCGTCGCATCAAAAATTATCAAAAAGTGGGTTTCTTTGGAGTCGTTAGTGTTTTGAACATAGACAAAATTTCATTATACGCCTTCTGAGAGGGTTTAATTATTGAAGTAAGTACTTAATATTTTTCTAGATTATAATAAAAAATGTATTATGTAATGTTACTGTTATTTTAGATTCGTTTAAATCCTAGTGTTCATACAAAAACCATTGAAATCGGCAAGTGACAACGTGTTTTCTAGCAAATATTTCATCAGTGCAAACCTAGGGCGACAAATGATAATCACTCCAGCAAATTGATTCATTTCTCGTCCTAATTATCGCATACCTACATTGCCAATGTAGGTAGAACAATGAGTTTGCGTGCCAAATATTGAAACTCAATATGCAAATAGTCGACTGTTTGTAGGCAACCTTGTATTGTAGATTTATAAACTTATTATGATAGCGTTCTTTGAATAACTAAGATGATCGATGCATAAGGACGCTTTGCAAGAAGTGTAATCTATAATGGTATTGAAAGTATACTTACTTACAAAAAATATCGTACGTTTCACATTAATATTGAGAAATAATTCCGATATTATTATTGAGAAATAACTAGACATTTCATAAATGACAATTTTAGACTCGAAAAGTTCTCATGAGTCTAGAACACATAAAATACTTTACCGCACATTTTTTCCAAGTGAAAACGAAATGCGGTCGTCTACAGCGGCAACAAGTTTCAACTACCTGTCACTTTCATTGCCATCAGCTGGTGTTGGGTTAGAAAGAGAGGTTTAAACAATTATAGCACTAGTTAAGTGAATGGATCTGTGAGAACTGTGGACAGGTTGGCTACAATGGGCGTTATTTCTGCATTATCTCCTAATTATCTGTACTAAAACTGGGTTTTTAGGATGCGATCATCATTCGTGATGGGTTTTAGCTAAACTTGATTTTACTTTTAACACGATTCATACACGTGTGCCAGTAATAGAATATGTATGATGTAGTTTTCCTTTCCTTTAAATAGTAGACGTTCACTAATTATGATATACTTTTTATTTTAGATTTTTGATTATTCTTATTCCTATCTAAGTAGTACTTGAAATCTGGCACAATAAAGGTATTTTAACCATCCAGACAGATATGTGCACTGCTTACAACTAAAACTCAGAAATAGCGACAGCAAAACATTTTGAACTGATCTTCTTGGTTACAAGAACTATAATATAGTAATGCGCAGATATATCTTCAAGGTGCGGCTCTAAGCTATTACTCAGCAAAATCTTAAGTCATCTTAAACGCTAACCTATTGACGTCATTGTCATCACATCTCTGAACAATTGTATTGTGATCGTCTCCGGGGTATTGTGATGGTACTACAGCTTCCGGTTTTGTATTATTTGTGTTTATATTAAAAGAGGTTATAAGAGGTCATTTCTACGCGCAAAAAGGAATTTAGAAAAAACACATTGCTAAAACTCTATAAAATGTAAAATAATTATTGCGTTATGAGTATATTATGCCTCTTTGGGTATGGTTACTCATCACAATGAATTTTCTATAGTAACATAGAGGAGAGTAACCGTGTATGTTAAACTACTCCTAACAGGAGAAAATTTATTGTCAATAAGTTCAACAAATTCGCGATTGATTCTCGGTTTTGGTTGGATTGTTTCATAGTGTTTTAAAATTTCTATAAAGAATGATTTAGAAATAAATTTCAATATTCCATTTTATGTATACTATTTCTTAATGGGTTATTTTCCTCTGCTAGAGGAGCTATAGTTGTGTTTTCGCCCTCGTGTTCTGTTCTGTGTGTACCTTACACACTTTGTCTAGAAAGTCACCTAAATTAATAACTTTTTATGCTATTTTATGGATTAAAAAACTGTTTATTGAACATAATATTTTCTTTGGTTTCAGTGGAGATCTACCTGTCACCTGTGGAGACTCACTGCAGCAACGTAGACTATTTTATACCCGACGAAAATAACGAGACCAAAGGATTTTCCGACGATGCGATGAACAGGTATGAAGCTGCATGATTCTAATAGGCCAGATTTGCCTTTGACGATTAGATAGATTCCAAAAACTATAAAACCATTGACCGCGTACGAAAAGAGTAATGAATGTTGAAGAAGCGATGTAATATTAATCTTGTAAATTGGTACTTCCAACTAATAATGCACAAATTTATCTCCGCAAATTAAAATTTACCATGTTCTACTTTACATACTTGATTATTATTGTTTTTGTAATGTGTGACAAATCAAGATGTCTTAACTTAGAAAATCGGGCAAGTCAGTCGTTTTCGCTCACCGACCAATTTGTAGATTACAAATAGTTCTGGAATGGAGACTGGTGCTTTTTCTGAAAATTCAGCTTAAAAACTAATAGTAACATGTGGAATTTTTGTATAGATATATATTTCACCAATGTACGGTAGCGCCGATTTCGATGAAATTAATATGGTGTACTTTACCTCGCAACCCAGTAATTAGTTAACACAGAAGTCACGCGCATATAAGATATCACGACAAGTTTTCTTTTATTCAAAAAGAGCTTTACAATATTGTAGTCATCCAAGCACATGATAGTGCCTAGATGCAGCCTGACTTGCGGTACACCGCAGCGCCGTCAACAGTTCGACCAAAATTAGAATACCCAAAAACGAGCTCGTCGCTAACAACAATTTTCTAAGTAGTGGCATATTGATATATTCAGTGATGAAAAATATTTTTGTAAATTAATGGTACGTACAGCAACAAGAACTTCATCAAAGAGGGACGTTAAAATGCAATTACCACTCTATATTAACGTTAACTGGATCGTCGAAACTGGAGGACACTACCTTCATATTAAATCAATGCGACTTTTACTCGAGTGGTGATAATTTGTCAAACTGTTCTCGGGCCTTGTGCTCAATCGCGATTGGGACAAAGTAGGTTAGCTTGTAGGGGTGTCTAAACATTGGATCTGTTAATGTTTTGTGTCAGGAAGCTTAACTGTTTTTTGTGTTAATCTTTCTATTTCATATGTTAATGACTAACTATGATAAATAGTAAATGTAAGATCGTAACTCGTAAGAATTGATTCTTATACTATTGTTTTTATGATTTGTATTTTAAGTTATCAATGGCTATAAATTAAGGTTACATTAGGACGAGATTGTCTTATATCGTCTTGTGTGCCAATTAATTGTTTTAGCCTTAAATTGAGCCAAGTTCAAACTAGCAATACCGGTTTTTATAACATTACAAAACCATTATCTGCCATTTATGTATATTGTACAGAAAAGTGACAACCCTATTGTCTGCCAATAGACAGATTTAAATCGATAAAACAAATTGATTCATTGTCTCAAGCAGCAGGCCAGTGTTCGGTGATTTACATTTATGTACAGAGAGCCAAAGTGTTGTTGTCAATTTCGTAACAGTTATACCTATAGTAATATCGATACCAAACTTATATCAAAGTATGATATTACTTTTAAGCTATGATTACCCCATTTACCTATTTTATTCTATATTTTATTCTTAATAAATATATCAAGTATATTTACAATAATAGCGGTATTCATTTTACATCAGAAAAATGTATGGAAATCCTATGGTTTAATGTTAATTTAACCCCTAATTAATTTTACATATTTGTACCAAATTTCAACTCAATCTGTCTAGTGATCATCATCATCCTCCTGCCCATTATCCCACGTTACGTGGGGTCGGCACAACATGTTTTCTTCTTCCATTCTTCTCTGTCAGACGTCAGCCTCACATCCACACCTTTCTTATTCATATCCTCTTTCACACAGTCTGTCTAGTGATAACGGATAAAATTAGCAAACCGTAGGACAGACACACCGACAGACAACTATGTCTTATAAGGGTTCCGTTTTTCCCTTTGAGGTTATGGCTGCGCAAGATTTCCTAATTTCTCGTAAATTACAAGTGGTTCGAGTGTTAATATTTTTTTCTTTTTTTCCAGGTTACATATGGCGCGATCAACGGTAGCACTGTTTATTGTAGCCTTCCTGTCACTCTTCATAGCGTTCTGGACTGGCGTAGTCGGCTGCTGGAAGCGCAGTCCAGGGAACGTCACCGCTACTGCCATTCTCATGCTTGTTACATGTAAGATAATCAAATAAATGAAATAGCTAAATATAAGAATTAAAAATAGAAAAGGGCCAAGAATTCACCCTTGGGGTACTTAACATTCTTTTGTTCTTGCAACTTATAGCTTAAGGAAAATTTAAAAACTCATAAATTGATTTAGTAAGCATTTATTGATCTGCTTTTGTGCTTAAGGTAAACAAATAAACATATTTATTGAAATTGAAAAATCGATAGGTTGATCAAACGCTATTCGTTTTTCAGGTTTATTAGCAGCCGGTGCAATGGCCCTGTGGCACGGAGTCGAGTTCTATGAGAAGGAGAAGGCTGTCGGAGAGGAGTACTATCAACAATGGCCCAGCGTAAGTATTGCTTTCGTCGTCCACGTTCTCACAATGTATCTAACAGAAATAAATAAAGTGACTTTTTTAATTTGGACATTTCACATTGATATTTCCTTTAAAGAAAAAGAAAAAGAACGTTTCATAGCAGAAAAGTGTCAGAGGCATTTAAAAAAAAATTTCTTTGGTCAGTGACTATTATCACTGACGAACAGCATATAGTGAGAGTGAGATATAATTTTTTTTATTGATTCCTTTCTTATGCAAAAGGTTTATTACGTTCGATTTACAATCTAAGTTAATTAGTATTGACATACATTTTTGTATTCAATACTTCATGTTTCACATGAAAACTAAACTTTTTTGATATCAATGATATTTGCTGCGTAAAAAATCTACTTCAAAACTAATTGGTTTTTATTTTTTATTTTTTTATCACCTACTTATATGTACCAAAGAGAAATTTTCTAGATGTCTACTAATCTATAAATGATGAAGAGAAATAAAAATATTATTGTACGATATGAATTATATGAGCACATCGTTTCATTTAGATTTCGACATATCTAACTTTTTTTAATACAAGCGATGCATATAGTTGTCATAAATCCCTTTACTTGTAAATCATCCTGAGAATTTCTCATTAACGGTAAAACAGGTACTTAAAAACAACTCGTCGATCTGGTACGACTGGTCTTATATCCTCGCGTGGCTGAGTGTGGCCGTCTCCTTCGGGAGTTCTGTGCTATTCTTCTCTGCCGCGGTATGCCTTGGAAGGGAGAAACGGCGGGAGCAGCAAAATAACGTGCAATACATAATGCCAGGTCAGGCTGCCATGTCGAGACGACATTTTGTGCTTAAAGCTTGGTAAAATGGCGGTCGTCACACGTGTACATTTCGGTTATTAGTTTTAAGGGTTTGTGTTGAAATATAGTATTAATATGTATATTATTTAATATGTATAAGAGTTGTTATTATTTTTATTAATCTATTTAAATTTGTAATTGGTTTTACATATTTTATATTACATTTTTATTTAATATTTAAAGATTATTCAATATCTATATTAATTTTATCAGCTCAGCTCATTTTATTTAAATTGAGTTTATAAATACTATTTAATCTTTACAACTATGTTCATTTATTTATGTTATTACAATGTACTCCTGCTCCTTATTATATTTATTATTTATTTAATACAAAGGTATTCTACAGGAGAAACCGTCGTGATCGTGAACCTAACTTAGATTTAAGTAAACTCATGTAATTATCTCATACTAACAAAAATGCTTTTCTCTCTTTTCATGTTTCTTTGAAACTTGGCGTTAACGGAACGGCGTTCGATCGGTCTAACGCGCTATAAACAAATAAATATAAATAACGCGCTATTTTTTAATATCTGGTTTACGCCAACGCAATACTAACATGCTTACAAACTATTTTATGAAACATTAACATTATGGTGATATCTTTTTTAACATTAAAATCAATACTATCACTGTACATTTTTACATAATCATAACTACTGTACATAATTATACATTGGATGTAACATTTGGAAAACCTACGAAATACATCACGAAATTTCACAAACAAATTGAACAATGTAAATTATTAAACAATATATTTAAATATTGTTTTGGGGAATTTTAACGGCAATCGAATTCTGAGCTTTTCGTATTTTTTATTATGAAAAACTATTGGGAAATCCGATACAAAACCGGAATAAACCAGATATTACGTGAAAACGCGCGCGTTTGGTATGACTGGTCGTACATCGTGGCGTGGTGCGGCGTGGGGCTCGCGCTGCTGTCCGCCATCTTGTTCTCGTCGGCGGCCATTTGCTTGCGCGGCGAGAGGGAGAGGGAAGAGGCGCTTAACATGCAGTACCTCATGCCCGGTAAATTGCTTTTGAGTAATAAAATGTTGGGTAGTTTTATTTGTTGCACAGTACCTACACATTAAAAGCATTATTAGAGACTAAGTAGAATATTTAAAAGCCGCTAAAAGCTGTTTTTTATATAAATTAACTGAATTAATAATGTTATTTACTTGGTAAACTTTAATGTATTATTACAAAAAATTATATACTCTACATTGGTTGTAATATAAAAACTACCCGAGGCCTGTAGTTGGCAAAATGTTTTTATTTGGTTAGATAACAACGAAACTAAGTTTTGTATATATATGTATACGATAAATTATGTCATCAACCAATTGGGCGATATGTATAATGCTTTAAAAATGCTTTGGGAAGTGGAATTTGTTGTGTAATAGGGATGATGACTAATTTTTGTTTGTTTGTCCGTCAGGTAGAGTGTTAAAAAATATTAAACACGTAATTTTTTTTTTTGTAATCATAAAATTACGGCGTTACATTGAGTTGAAATTTCGCATGACGTCACGTTAGAGTACGTTTTCTACTCAACTGTGACGTAGCGAGCCCCCACTCCTCAACTTTAATGCCTGTTATCTAAGCTATTTCTTGTTAAATTGGAGTAAAAAATTACGTGTCTAATATTTTTCTATTACCTGACTGACGGACTAAAGAGAATTGCATTTTTTTACCCAGTCATCATCCCTATTGTAAATAATATGTGAAATTAAACAAGAAAGTGTTAAACCTTTAGTTCTTTTGTTTCCATGTCTATTTTCTCATCTTTTATTACTTACCATCGGTCAAGGACCAGAATAATATCAAATAATTGAAATGATATTTAACCTATTTTGCTCATTATCAATCTAAAAGTCCTGTTTCCTTATTATAAGATGCTAGCACCAGAATATGCTAGTGAACCAATCGATAGTACGGAGCGGCACAACTGCAATGTCGATTGATAGCGATCGCTTTCGATAGTGAGCATGCTGATGTATCGACGACTATAGTCTTACGAGTATTATTCAAGTCAGTTATACAAAGCCCCGTTTTCCTAGGCGAATTCTGGTTCTAACTGCATAACTAGAATGCTATAACAAAGATTTACCATCCGCAGTGTATCCACAAAAGCAGCAATATGCGTACGCCGGCTACCCTCCTCCCCAAGCTTACCCAGGGCCGTACTACCACGGGTCCCAGTACGGGCCCTACAACTACTGAGCCGTTCACCAGATGAGGGAGCACGTGGCGGCGCCCCAACACAATGCGCCCGCGCCCCAAGCGCCCGCGCGATCCAACACGCCATCCAACAAACCATCCGACAAACCGGACTACCTGAACACGTTCAACTCGCATAGGAAGATTAGAGGGAAGATCGGCGATAAGAAACTATACAGACCGGTGAGATTGCACACTCTGTCTAGGATAGACGAAGCCCCGCTTCAGACAAGACCACCGACGCCGAGAAATTCCGTCGATATATCTTCCAATCGTCCGATCCTGAGATCTAGATCGAACGTTTCAGCGGACACTAGTAGAAGCGTGCCCGTCTGCAATGACAGTCACGTTATAGGAAATCAAATAGAGTGCTCGAGCCCTCAGTACGCGGAGCTCGGATCCGCCCCTGGATCCGATACTGGCTCCTCGTACGAGCGGCCCGCTTCTATGACCGATATGCCGGTTATGATCCCGTTGGACCCCGCCACGGACGCTTATTACCCGCCCTACACTTACTATAGAGACGACGGTAGACTGAACAAGCGAAAATTGAAAAAGAGATTGAAAAAACTGTCGTCAAAACACAGCAATTTGTATCTTGCGTTCATGTATTGAGAACTTATTCACTAGTGTGACGTCACAAAGGTTTTTATGACAGAGCAATTTAATCCTCATCGTGATAGATTATGGTTCAAATTAGAGAATTTTATAGCATCATTGAGCTCAGAAAATCTTTTGACGTGTCGTCCCAGTAGTGAATTAGGTCTTAGGAGTTGTCAAAGTAAAAACTGACGCTTAGACCGCTTTTAGAAGCTCAAGGTCACGAGTTTCGACGATGCCGTTACAGTGTATGACTGTCGCTTCGGCCCAATTTTTTGGTCTTCAAAGTTGTCTTTCATTCCAAATATTGCATACACTGCCTTTTATTTATGATGGGTAGCCCGAATCTGGTTAGAATATAAATAAAACTGTTGACTATTGGCACGATTTTTACGGTCGCGTACGAGTTGTTACAAATCATTTAAAGTTTATAAACGACTCGTATCGACTTCTGCAGCACGGCTTACGAAACTCTGACACGACTGGTCTCTTCGAAAATATTCGTTAATATTTGCTTCCGAAAGTTTAATCGATTTTTAGTTAATAAAATAGTATTTTAACAAGGTACTTATCAGATATACGTGGATGCCTATGTATAGTTTAAGTAAGATGGGTAGACGTGTCAATCTGCCATAGTGTATTGCGATTCAAACAAAACTTTAGATAATAAGATTGTTTAGGTGAAATAATGAACAAATCGTCTCCGTATGTGAGACGGTACCGTAATGAACCAATTCTATGTATGTATATTGGAATATTGTGCCTTTATTGTAATGTAAACAGTCCACGTAACGATCAATTGCAATTGTCAATCGAGTTCCGATTGATAATTTCAATTAAATGTACAGGTTAATAATTATGCTGTCCATCAGTAACTTCAATCATACTACCGTGGCAATTATCAATCACATGAAACTAAATGTCAATCGCGACTGATAATTTCGGGGACTATTTAAAAATGCTCATTCATATTGTATTGATTATTATACTAGAATACACATATCTCTATAACTTTATTTTCTAGTTGTACATTTCTTTTACTTATATTAAGATATGGATTCAACTGTATTTTTTACGGTATCTTCAATATGCAATTGTCAATATTGGATGGATTACTTCGGATGGAAGTTATATTGTAATACTTTTCCTTAGGATTGTTTTATTTAAAACTGCCTACCGATAGTACTGATAAATATAAAATCCGTCCCCTTTATTGTTCTTGCGTACATAAAACTTCTTTTTATATACATAATTTTCATGTATCAATTAATATTTAGTCAGAGAATGGCGAGGTACTGAACCAATAATTTTGTAAATTAATTATTTCTAGTTTAATTAATATAATGATTGATATTAGAGATTTGTTAGGATATTTTCACTGGAAATGTATTTAAAATTTTCTAAATAAAAAATTGTAAAATTATCCATCTCTTTTTTAATACCGAACTAAATAAATCCTACAATTCTTATTTTATATGTATTTACAAATGTTTATTTGTAAATACATATAAAAAGCACATGATTTAATTTTAAGATGAATAATTCATTTTTAATAGGTAATAGAACTAGTGTGACAACAAGAGATGAAAATTGCCGCTAAACTTTCTTTCTCTGAGAAAACTTTCCCGAAAACTTCAAAACTTCCAGAAGTTTTGGAAGTTTTCATTTTCATCTTATATTTTCATCATACGTCCGCAGTTTAGCTCAAAAACTATTGGTACTAGACAGTTGTAATTTGGCATGACTATGAGTATACACGTTAATTACCCCGACAAAGTCATGTAAAGTAGGGATGATATTCTTTTCGTCTTCCCCATATTGTGATGCATCGTTAGATAGATCTTTCAAAAATATTGGGGGTAAAATCATTAGTGACTTATTAAAGAAGTTTTCGTTAGAGTCAAGTGTTAAGTACTTCTAAATAAACTTGGTAAAATTTAAACGTTACGGCAGCTAGTACCTGTATATAACGAAGTTGAAAGGACAACTATCACACTTAAGTTGACTTTAGAAGTTTACAAGTAATAGTCGGCCAATTGTATTTGACACATAATATTTTATTTTATTATTGGCCACCCCTAATATCTGGCCGTCCTTTTTGTATCGTATAGGGACTACAATACAATTTTCAGCAACACTTTCATATTCAAGATGACAGCGCACGACATAATTATAATAAATGTATGAACTTTGCAGAACTTTTATTAAGTTCTGATTGTACTGTCTAATCATATCGAGGAGAAATCGTCATTATCCCAAAAATCATCAATTATTAAATTTTGTTTCTCTAGAAATAGAGTTATTCCTGATATGGAGCTATAATGGATCGATCGAATGAAGATCCATTTCACGGGATTCACAGGATTGTTTTACTGCTAGCATGGCCATCATTGTTCGAATTTACATCTACTTAAACTACATGACAAATTTTAAATTGTATTTCTAATCCACAAATGGACAATTTATAATTGGCAAATTAGTAATTGAGAAAAAATAAAATCATAAATATTTTATTTTTTCTCAATTACAAAATCATAAATAGTTTATTTTTTCTCAATTACTAAATTGCCAATGCGAATATGTCCACAAAGTATTTTTTCAGTTGATTCTGACGTAATCTTAAGTTATAAAATTTCTCAATATGGAAGTCGAATCGACATTAAAGAACCATATCACGTAACTTCTAAAACTTCCCGAAACTTTCCGGAAAACTTCCAACGTTTCCAAAACTTTCGGGAATTTTCAACATTAGTGATAACCTCATTCATACTAGGTGAAATAGGTGAAGATATAAATGAAAAAAATATTTTACAAATATACAAAACGTATATATTGATATAATGTTTGTACAAAAATATTTAATATGGCGATTATGGACGTAGGTAATATATTGATGAAATGGACGAAATGACATATCACACGTTAAAAATATCAAAATCTCTAAATAACACACTTAAAATAACATATAACACACATTTGTAGTACACACGGTTGCAAGTCGGGTTACTATAATATGTCAAATTTTCTAGTTGATTTTAAACTTAACATTTAAAGCATTAAGGTTTAAAACAGTCTGACGTGGTGTTAACACTAATGGTTGTTTCTTCTAGTGTACATCAAAAACATGTATTTCCGCAATTGTTTGAACTTTTTCTCAATACATCAAAGTTCAAATTGCATTAGAGAAAATTACAGTTTTAATAACCTGATGTGCCGTTGACTTTACAGAGCTTTAAAAAATAATAATCCGTTAACATGCTAATATAAAAAAAAAACAAGAACATACTACATTTTTTCTACGGTTACTAATAGAAAAATATACGAGTGCGGTGTGGGTATTTCGCGCGTAAGTACATTGAGACGTAAGTACATAATACAATACTATAAATAAATAAATCGAATATTATAGAGCATTATATGTATTAATTATTATCGACATTGGCTATAATAAAGAAATTAGAAAGTAATTAACATGACGCTAATCACATAGTCTGTAAATCCAATTTATTACATTTATCAATCAAATATACCTATAGTATCTTTTTTGTAATTCGATTTCAATAACAGTTTGCATTCATATCAATAGTAAAACATGATATAACACATCGAAATAAGGAAAAGCACGACGAATTTATGCATAATTTCGAATGTTTTAGTGGACACTACGCTTAAGACAATCAAAATTACTGAAAATATTAAAACAGAATGCCTGCTTCACAAGTTCTAAGTTCCAAATCTGACAGATTATTTCACAGAAATACTGTTCCATTTTTAAATTGAACCAGAAGAATACTATCTACTTGTAAAGAACTTGTGAAAATATAGATCTTAAGACGAATTTACATTACGACTCTAATCGCATGAAGTTAGTTCTATTGCATTAATATCGCTAGCAGTTGCACGTGTAAACGTCCGGTTTCACAATCCATGCATCAATTTTACGGCACTAGAGTAGTTTCTTGTCATGAGCATATTTTTGATGAAATCAGTCCTGCGGAATTAATTTCACCGCTATTTACATAGACAACATAGGCGTAGAGCAAGTGCAGCATATTTGGAACACTGCAGGTAATTTGGAATATTTAGATACCTAAATCAATATAAACGCAATCTGTGTTTTATTGCTGTAAACATAACGTCATAAGATAGGTGGAGCTAAAAAGATCAACTGGTCAGCTTGATATTTCAGCTATAAGTCTCATGGGAACAAAAAGCGTGTTTTTTAAACTTTTTCGGTAATGCTTCAATTAATAATAATCATTTACTAGGATAAGTAACATGTTTATTTCTATTATTCAAACTGTGATATATTCTTATTAAGTTATGGTGCCAGTTTCACTAATTAATATTTATAAAATTTAAAATGAAACACTGAAAGTTTAGGTTTTTCCAAATTACCCGTACCCTAAGTGAAATCACGTTTTAGTAGTGTTTAATGTATTGATTAAACATTGTTAAGTTCTGTTTTATTTTAATTAAAACTTTGAATTATTAAAGTTTAATAAATTTCCTATAACTTGATGATTTCTCTTCCAAATTATTTTCAAAATCAAACCAAAAGAAAATAGTTTCATGAACCTCGTCTCATCATAAATTTCATAAAGTAAATCCGGCTTTGCATTTGTCTTCCATCTTTAATGAAGTCTCAGATACCTATACTAACTGCTTATTAGTAAAGCAGAAAATTTAAAATGTTTACTTTCAAAATTAACTTGGTAAATGGATACTACATAAAATTGGTGAAATATGTACTTAAAATATAGCTCATTTTCAATATAACATGCTTTATAATACAAAAATGTGTAAATAAGAGTAGTACAGAAGACAAAACAGTTAATGAAATATCAAATATCGATCAGAGTACAATAAAAGATTATATAGCGGTATCTATAATAGGTCCTGGATGTGATAATGCCTGTTTCCTCTCCTGGACAGCAGTGACCAGTTTCCTGTACGGTCCTAGTGGTAAGCCAAGAGTCTTCATATCGCTCTCGGTGAGCAGCATGAGCGCGTCCAAGTCTATCTGTTCGTCTTTGAATTTCTGAACATATTGACCTAAGCCCCAAGCTGTTAGGAAACGTTCGAGGGAAGAGAATCCTGTCTCTTCAGTTTCGGCTTCCTCGTCAGATGTGATAGTTGAGCTTTCTGTAATATCAAACAAAGTTTAAAATTGATAAAAAATTTTGACGACATTTATTTTGGTTAATTCGAAATTTCTTTAAATACATATACGGTAAATATACAAAAATATCATTTTTTACATTTTTTGTCTGTTTGTGCGATATACTAATAAAAATACTATTAATTGTAGAAATGTTTTTTATTCAAATGCTTATACAAAAGCCGTAGTAACAGAGAAAGTTGCCATTAGACAAAATTATTAAAACTGCATGAAATTGTATGACATTATTGCCATATAAAGTAACACGGCTAATCTTTAAAACGGCTCGACCAATTTAGACATGACTTACACTGGCTGATAACTTATCTTATAAGGGGTAACTTGGGCTACTTATACGCGGACGAAGTCGCGGGCAGAGCAAGTACAATATATAATGAGGAAGTATTTAAAAATCCATTAGTTCCCGAAATCAAACTAGATGTCGCTACGGTACTTTGTTGATTTCTCCATGACAACCATTCCGGTTTTCAATTTGTACTTTTTCATATTTGTATTGATATCTATAGTTTCGAACTTTGCATCAGTTTTTTAATATGTTAGTTAAAAGGAACGGAAATGACTATCTTTGGTTCATTCATTTCCTGCAAAAATCAACTTTTGCTAGTTGCCATAGTGGAGGTGCTTTTTTTAATGCTTTATTTTTTTTAATACTTCCTCATTAGTTAGGTAGAGTGTATTTATCTGGATTTATATTATAAACAGGTGAGATGAGATTGTTTGTTTGCATTTAATAGTCTCCCAAACTACTGGACCGGTTTTAAAAATTCTTTCACCTACGGGTAGGTACGAGTACATAATTCGTGGGTGACACGCTATAAATTATGCAGGCGAAATCCTGGGAAAACATCGAGTTGTATAGTAAATTTCAAAATTCAAGAAATCTTATTATAAGTGCAACAACCTTAATATAATCCTTATTATGCGTTCAGGGAAAATAAGAGTAAAGTGTGATAAACATGGTTGCGAACCAGCGTTTCGATAGAGGTGACGTTGCTTACAACTAACCACCTATATGGCAGTTGTAAACCAAATTTCTACACAATCCGTAGTTGGGAACCCCATTCCTACCAAGGTCACCTCTGTTGGTTTAAAAAGGTGTGGAAGATAGTATTATATTTGATAAATTTTGCATTCATAGTGTTATTCTGGAAAATATTTTTAATGAAACTAATGCTTGAGAAATCCTGAGAAATCCACCTGTTCATTCATTAAGAATATTATCCAGGATAGCATTGTTAATTTAAAATTGGTTAAATATAATAGGGTATTCTATTGTGTTTGAAATAATTCTTGTAACTTGGGATAGTGTAGGCAATTGTTTCAGCTATATTTTCACGTTACGGGGCTTTATTTTGGTATGATTTTCGTGCAAAGATACTTGGAAGGGTGGAGAGTGGCTTCTAACAGCAAAATTTTTAGTCATTTCCCTTTGACCACGCAGGCGAAGCCGGTTACCAATAATTTATTATTACCTGAATGTACCGAGTTCCATTCTGCTGGCTGGTACGCGTGTCTAGCAGCGAGCGAGCCCGCTGAACCAATGGACAGGTCTTCACCAGCCGCTACAACCGGTAGACCGCTCAGGGTCGCCGTTATGGACCGTCTGAACGTAAAATCAATGAAATTACTCACACGTTCACGTTAAATAGCTTTAAATAGGCTTATAACGTCTAAAATATTCTCATACAAATTTATTTGTGCGTTTGATTAGCAACCACTTAGGGCCGTCCATTAATCACGTGATGCTCGAAAGGGGGGAAGGGAGTTCGTCAAAAATTACGAAAAATCACAAGGGGGTAGGTAGGGAGTGCTGTAGTTTGTGAGATATTACGCGTAACTATCTTTTCCTCAAACACGCAATTACTAAACCGAAAAACGGCATCAAAAATTAAGAATCACCATGTATTTTACTTCTGTATCTGTACTTCTGTTATCTGATGTATCTGACTTTAAGTTTTAAGTGGATTCTATTTTTAAAAAGTAGTCGGTTAAAAATATTGCGCCATTCCAACGAATTTACAGATATAAGTTTTTTATTTTTTTTCTTCTTAACTTTTATTTGGGGTTTTTATCAATATCAACCCCATCGCACCTTTTACATTAGTTTCATAAAACTATGCTAAAAAATAACATCAAAAGAGAGGTTTAAATGACAATAATGTAGGGGCTTAAAACAATACTAAAGGCATATTATGGACACAATATTGACTGATCATCAAATAGTTGTCGTTATTGGTTATAGTCAATCTACACAATTCTTAGCTTCATCCTTTATGGGATTCGCTAGTATACCTTGAGCATTAACATCGAGAATATTAAGTCCAAATTCCGCCTGCAGTAACTCTCTTAGACATACGTTGATGAGCTCCTTTTAAATCCGCCAAAACTTACCTGAAAGCGACGCTACCGAAACCTGGCCTGTCAAATATACTAGCCGGCTCCTGCAGCAGTACTTCTTGTCCGATACCGCTGTCCTCTCCCGCTGCTGCCGCAGTGAAGTCCGGTTGACTTGCTGATCTAAAAAAAACGGTTTAGGATTCATCACCAGTACATTAATGTCTCCTCTGCTCGGGGCTCAGGCCTGCCCTATGAATAGAATCGATTATAATCGAATAGGGAGATTGCGTCATGCATAACACACCACGCGGGCCCAGCGCGTGTTGGTGGGTATTAACGACTGCAGATGCAGCAGTTATAAAGAAGAACCGGCAATAAAGAAAGCAATAGCTAGTTTCATCTCCCTATTTTATTTTTATACAGAAGAGGCCAATTACAATATTTACTGCTTTCCGCCAGCGGCTTCGTTCGCGTGCTCATGTATTATTGTAAACCTGTATCTTGAATCCACTTTTTCATCCATTTCTGGATGATGATGATGTGTAGTTTACAAGATCTCAACGTACAGACAGCGGTTTTACTATGTATAGTTGTTACTTTGCCGTGAATTTGTTTTTACTATGTATAGTTGTTACTTTGCCGTGAATGGTTTTTAAAATGTTGCGTATTAACGATTGCGATGGGTCAAAATGCACCGTAAATTACGGTCCGTAATACGGGTATAGGCAGTAAACGATTTTTTTTCTGTTAGTGTTTAATATATCTTACCCATAAATACACATTTATGCTTATTGTATTTATAATATTGCATAAATTAATTATGAAAAATCAAATATTTTATACTCGTTGTCGCGTGACCGCACACAGCGCGTGACGTCACATATCAGAACTTAGAGAACCTCAACCTTATGCTATTAGTTTAGAACGATATTAGTTTCAGAGGGCCGTGACGCAATTGCGACGCTATGGCAGAAGTGAAATGTTCGCGGAAAATTCTGAAAATTAAATTTAAATCTTATTATATGAACAATAATTTAAATACTTTTTTTTAAAGATAAGTTAAAATATATAAAAAAAAATTGTCTACACCCATATTCTTAAAGTGAGTAAATCTGGGTGATGATCTTAATATCGTCAAAACTGGGTCGCCAGTCCTAGTCGAGTGTTGTACCTGGTGAGTGCCGGTTTGTTTCTCGTGTCCTGTGTCTCTGCGAACACGTCCGCGACGGCGGCCCGCTGCTGCGGCCCGGCGCCGAACGTGCCCACGTACATCACCTCCGAGTCGCGCCGCACGCCGCTCAGTGACGTCACAGAACGTCTGCCAGTCGCCTCCACCTCACCCACCTACACATTAGAGATGTGTAAGTATATATAACGCGTGTCGCGCTCGGCGGCGGCGTGGATAAGCGCCGCGGCCCGCGATCTTAGTCGTTAAGGGATGGGTGACCAAAAAATAATTATCTCGAGTTACTCCGTGCTTCGGAAGGCACGTTAAGCCGTTGGTCCCGGCTGCATTTGCAGACGTTAATACCCTCCTAACCGCTTTGGGCCAGAGTGGAGGGTCATGGCCCATTCTCCTTAACCATCCATAAGGAAGGCCTGAGCCCCTGCAGTGGGGACGTAAAAGGGCTGATGATGATGATGATGATATAACGCGTACTATTACACGACCGCGTACTGTAACAGCAGGGGTGTGTGGGACTCTCCATTCGCACAGACCCGGTCGCGGACTAATCAAAACACGGATGGCATACTCAATCTATAAAACCGCAGAACGACCAGTTCTACTCTATGATAGCGAAACATAGGCTTCGAAGAAAATCAATGAACAAAAATACACATCACTGAAATTCGCATGCTACGCTGGGTGGCTAGGGTCACATTAAAGGATAAGATTCGAAATGAATACATACGGGGGAGTTTTAAGGTTGCTCCTATTGTCGACAAGCTTACTGAGACTAGGCCACGTAGATTCACGTGATAAGTAGACCTGATGATGATACGTAGGCGAGAGGTAGGCCGCAGATTACATGTATGTCGAAGATAAAGAAAGACACGAAGGAGCATGACCTAACAGAAGATGACGCTTTCCACGCTCATGATTAAGAAACCCGACCCCGCTAAAGGAGAAATGAGAGGCAGAAGAAGAGACCCGGAATCCAGGAGTGCTTTACACTCAGCCCCTGTATCTTTTACATACCTTGAAGTCATCGGTGGGTCCAGCTCTGCCGACGGTTCCACTCTTGAGTTTGCTGGCTAAAGCTTTCTTGTAGACAGCGCCGCGTCCTCTCACGCCAGAGTTGACGGTGCCCACCAAAGCGCTATACGTCGGCCTCGGCTGATCATCAGTCAATAGATTACCTACAAATCAGGAAAAATAAAAATTGTAATTCGAACGCGAAATCATAACAATATTAAATGTGCAGTTAAAAGTACAAGTTGCACAGAATTATGCATTTTGCTGTGCAATAAGTATAATAATAATAATAATATAATCTTTATTGCACACATACAGACAGGAAAACAGAACGAAATTACACAGTAAAACAATACAGAGTAGACAAAAGGCGGCCTTATGGCTAAACAGAAATCTCTTCCAGGCAACCTATGAAGGAGAATAATAAAGGAAAGGGAAAATATGGGGTATTGGGTGCAATGGTCAGAAGGATATGATATCACGCTTGTAACAAATTTACTTGTTTTAATGTAAGTGCAATAAAGAGTATGATAATAACATATTGTTGTTTTTTTTTTAATGGACGTAGTTCAGTATTGTGCATAGGGCACAAAGTTTACCTAATGAGTATCAACAATGAACTAGTATTGTAATCGGATAGAAATCTAATGTTTTCCAGTTAACCGATTACTTTATTTCCGCTAGACTTGTCACTGTAAGTGTTAACCCAAAATATTTCCTTATTTCATACTAAACTAGCGGATGCGTGTGTAATCATCATTATTATACTTTCACTACATTTAAGGTCATCACAATATTGTACACATGGCTGCACGTCAGGTTACAGCAATACATATTTCTTCAATTGATTTTAAACTTTACCCTCAAAACATTAAGGTTAACAATCAAACGGAGAAATTTGACAGATTTGTATAATTCGAAGTGCTGTTAACTGTACCTACAGTACATATCATGTCAATGGGTCACTTGCAGCACATCACAAGCATCACCAGTCTATTAAAGTACTCGCTGTTGGCCCATATGCCTTCCCTATGGATGGAATCGAAATGGGAGAAATGGGCCATGACCCACAAGTGCGTATTGATGGATGCGTCAGCGACAGCAGATGTATCCTAAACCGACGGGCTTAACGTGCCTTCTGAAGCACGCATGAGTCTGAGATAACATTTTTTTTGACTACCCATCCTATAAAAGGCCCCTGCTAGAGTAGCTTAAAGAACGTATCGCCGATCGAACTCTCTAACCAATGCGTGCAAAATAAAATTCATGTTTAGAAGGAAACCTCCGACTTTACTTGCCTTTAAATGTTATTCAGATATAAGGTTAGCCAACAGTCCAGTCAAATGTTGGTTTGTCTATTTCGGTTACAGAGAAAAATGGGAAAAAAATTGACTTGGATAATTTTTTGCAAAAGTAGAATCGATGGGGATTTCTGACATTTCATTAAGTAGTTAATGGTTTGTTAAACATCTATGCAAATTTTGCCTAACTTAAATTTTTATTTGACTGGACTACAATAAACTTGCAGTACTAAATATCTAACATGTAATATCACTTGTTCTACGGCTTTTAATAAATTGTGATACGAGTATATTGCTTCATCACCACATCACCAGCCCTTTTACGTCCCCACTGCAGGGGCTCAGGCCTTCCTTATGGATGGTTAAGGAGGAGGGGCCGTGACCCTCCACGCTGGCCCAATTGCGGATTGGAGGGTATTTACGACTGCAAATGCAGCCGGGACCAACGGCTTAACGTGCCTTCCGAAGCACGGAGTAGCTCGAGATAATAATTTTTTGGTCACCCATCCCATGACCGACCCTTGCGAAAGTTGCTTAACGACCACGATCGCGGGCCGCGGCGCTTATCCACTACGCCACCGATTATATTGCTTACTATCAAATTATTGCTTAAAAACATAATTTGATTTACCACTTGATTTTTAATCCACGCGCATAGTATTGTAATCGAGGCTCATACGCTGGTTTCTAGATGTCATCCCCGATGTAAAAAAATATTTTTTCTACACGAATGTATGTTAATATGTTTCCTAAGGAAACGTATTTGGTGCATACGACCATGGCTATATCATGTGTTATAGATTGTTTTGTGATTTCTCAGTATTAGAATTAACTTTATGCCAATTTTGTTGTTCAATAAGATAGCTCACAAGCCCTGTCACTGTCTAATATATTTGAATAGAGTTTATCAGATGAGTAATAGTTTTATCTGAATATTGAATTCATCCATTCAGAAAATATTTACACAATTAATTAAGAAGTTTAAGAGTCATTATTGTTTGTGTATTAACCGATGCAACGCAACAATTGCAGGAAGCTAATTAATTACCTAATTATGTAGGTGGTAATAAGGATGGTTAGAAAATATTAACAAAGCATTGAACACAAAACCTCTATGCTGTATCAGAATAGCACCGCTCGAACTGTGTATAACTAACTACCCGATAGAAGATAATAATGGACCGACAATCTTTGAGAGATGATTGGGTGACCAAAAAAAGCTGTTATCACACGTTAAGCCGTTGGTCCCGGCTGCATCTGCTGGCGTTTACACCCATCAATCGGCACTGGACCTGTATTTGAATAATTACCCATTCTACCTATTCTATTCGATTCCATAGGGGAAGACCTAGTATTGGGGACATATGTAGGCTGGTGATGAAGATGATTATCATGATTGGATGTATAAACCCGTTTCAAATAAAGTGTTTTCACAAAGTTAACCTTGGCTAGAAGTGGATGTATAAACCTGTCTCAAATTAGGTGTATAGACATTCACACAGTTAACCTTGGCTAGAAGACCTCGTCATCTTCTGTTTGAGCGCGAACAACACGTTGCTGGGTCTATGCGGCATGGTGGATATCTCCTCGTTGTATCCTTGCTCCCATTCCTTGGCCAGTTTCTTGAACTCTTTCTCAGCCATTAAGTCCGCTTTGCTTTGTCGCTTATGGTATTGTTTTGTGGACTTCTCGTAATCTTTCTTTGCTTTTTCTTTGAGGCTCTTTGTCTTTTTTCTGTAAGCAAAAATATGGTTATATAAAACTAGCTGTTTTCTTGCGAGTTCGCACGCGTAAATTATAGCCTATGTCAACCCTGTATGATCTAGCTACCTGTAGGTGAAAGAATTTTTAAAATTGGTCCAGTAGTTCGGGAGCCTATTCGATGCAAACAAACTAACAAACATATAAACGAACAATCACATTTTTCACTTTATATTATTAGTATAGATATAATATTAAAGATATCAAGCATTTAACCATGATTTGAACAGACCACATATAATTTAAATGGTGTGTTTGCACATACTGAAATTAAACGACATATCGCAATAATATCGCTTAGATGTCGTATCCTATTGATAGAATCATGAGCTAGAGAATTAGACAGTCACAAATCTCGAGAGAATTTTGTGTAGATTTATTAATATAAACAGGTCGACCTCAATCCAATTTTCTCGAATTTATAAACCACCTGGTAAGTACCACCTTTTTGAAGTCAGTTTTTATTTTTACAACATACAATAACAAATTACTCACTTATCATTATTCTCCAATTTGGCGGTGGTCTGGTCCAGGTACCGGAGTATGTCGTCACGTCCGTTGATCGCTGCTAGCTCCTGAGCCGTGTGTCCGTCCACGTCCATGGCGTAAACATTCGCCCCAAAGTTGATGAGGAACGTGACGCATTCTTTATGCCCTCTCGCAGCAGCCAGATGGAGGGCCGTGTTACCGAAGAAGTCGGCTTTGTCCGGTTCACCACTATAACATATGCAACAATGATCTTTATAAAGAGAAATTTAGATCCAAAATGTCCTGATACAAAACGGAGTGTGGCAATAAAAAATACTTTTCATCCATGTCATGCTACATTATACGCGAGTGACATATGTTATTATTTACCTCGGGAACTCCCTGGAAAACGCTAGTGTGTAGTAAAAAAAGTGGTTAAGTCATAAAAAATGTTTAACTTAACTGATGCCGTCGTTTACCATTAAAACTATTCCAAAAAGTGAAAGTGTTATAATCTTGTCGGCGTGAAAAACAGATTAAGCTGTGTAATTATACAAGAAAAAAACGCCTTGCCATTCGGCATCCAAGCGGCCGCAAACAATGTACGATTATGATACGCCATTGTGTGTAACGTTCGAGTTGTGATTAAAATACTCTTTGTTTTATTTTGATACTTTTTCCCTTGTTTCTATTAACGGAATTGCTTAACTTCTATGCGATTATTGGTGAATATTAATGGACAGCGCCGCAGCTGCCCAACTCATAGCCCTAGAGATGAATATAAAAAGGTTTTATTGATTTTAAATACGTTAATATTCTTTAAATTTTTAGTGTTGCGTACCAAAACCGTAACTCATGTCGACAACAGTTTTATTTATTTATTATCACACGACAAGACACACTAACAGTACAAAAATCAAAACAATAATAACATAATCATCAAGAATCACATATGATAATTGCACCAATAATAAGCGTGTACAGCATTAGCAAATTTTGTCACAGTTGAAGTAAAATTTAATACAAGATTACAAATTATAAAAAATAAAATAAAAAAGAAGTTATGCCAGCCTCTTCTTAATAAGTGTATTTATTTTTTCATTATTTTAATTTTAATGACCCTTCTGCTTTTTACTGTTTATATTGAATTGTGTAATAACAGTTATAACTATCGATAACAACCTCTATGGGTTGACTAAGCTGTCTGTCTGTCCTTCTGTCACAGCCAACTTTGGTTAGAAAAGTAGAAAAAAGACAACAAATGAAAGGACTTATTGCGAAATGTCTAATGTTTCTTTCTATCTCTTCCGAAAATCTATATACATATAAACATGTTTACAACAAAGTCACATCGAGTCGCGTGTCGGTAACAAATGAGTGCATTTGTCGGGCAGCCAGCGGCTATATTTGTTTATATACTACTTTTATTTACTTTTTGTTTTGGAATCATATACTACATATGATCAAGGTTTAGAATAAAAAAACCGATTTTATCATTAAATTAGTGAGAGAATAAATTGCATTAAGCACGTGTATAGAACAAACTAATAGAATATTACGAAAATAGTATAAATAATTGTTTCTGTAGTGCAAATTTTTATAGGGCTGACTAACCTAAACAGAATCGATTTGATTTTAAGTATATTTTGAAACTTCTTAATAAAGGTTTAAAAAGGTGTTATTTTGTTATATCTCGGTATGAGGATCATCTTAATATATTTTTAAAACAACCATTCCATATCAAAGTTCAAAGAAAGGCATTCGGTATTTTTTTTAGATATTCGTAACACGATTAAGTATTTGCTCTCTGTTCTTGAATATATCTGAGAAACGATGATCCAAAATGAAGCATTAATGCATTCGGATCTTTGTATTGATTCAGATGCCATATCCAATCTTTAGAAAGGACTGTTCGCAGTACTAGTCCGCTTTGGGCCAGTGTGGAGGGTAATGTGCCCTTTCTGACTGAAAGGCCTGAGCCCCACCACGCGACTCAAATGTCACTTTTCTCGGGTGCGCCCATACTATATCTCACTCTCGACCCGAGAAACTGACAAATGAGTGTAGACAAAGCATTTCTCGAGTTTGTCATGCTACGCGTGTAGCAGTGGGGACGTAAAAGGGCTGTTGATGATGATAAATAAAAATAGAATGCTCATGACTTTAATGGTATGGTGATAGTGATAAATGGCCAATATTATTTTTAAATATCTGGATCGGGACCAACAGGTATTGGTCGAAAAATTTACGTTTTAGATTTCATAGTACGATGGTTGATGACTAAACAATAGTTACAACAATAGCAGCAGGTAATTATTATTCTACATTGAAAGTAGCGCAACTGGAAGTAAAAAGTACCTATAAAAGACACTGGCAACTACATCATGGCATTCCTATTTTAGGAAAGCTTACTTTAGTAATAGTATAATGGTTCTTACCATCTAAATGTTAAGATTCAAATCGTATATTCAAGAAAGTAGTTCTAATAAGAATAAGACTTAGAAAGCTGACTGGTGTTTGTATTTCAATCCTTGCTGGTATCTTCATGCAACATAATAAACTCAATCTTAAGTATATAACTTTAAGGTATAAATTTATATTTACCCTCGACCACAGAGTAGTCGTAGCGCTTCTATGTGACCTTCGAAGGCAGCCCAGAGAGTTGGTGTCATACCAGATTCATCCTTGTTGTTGCATTCCTTGCGGGTCGCCTCACGTAACACCTCCAATAGACCATCTTTGGCCGCTCTGATAATAAAAAAACAGATATTAAACCAGGAGACGGCAATATTGAAGGAAAACTTTCCAAGCCGTGACGGACTCGCGCACAAAAAGTTCCGTATCGTTATCTATAAAAACGTCTTTATGTAGGGTGCCTACTAAATTGGTTATAAATCCAAGAGGTAAAAGGTAATGAAGATTTAAAAACTATTATATTTAAATTGTTTTTTCTTTTACGTTGCGAGCAGTGTACTTTTTAATTATAAACAAAATTTAGTTTATATTCGTGCACATTTTTATTTCAGATTTTAAGTACATAGTATTTCATACAGCCGATGGCAATTTTCTTTAATTTACTCGTTTCCTTTAAAGTTCATTCATTTTTAAACACTTTATTAACAAAACTTCACGAATTTCATGATTTTTCTTCATTTAGTCGTCTATCGAGAGAATCACTCAGCTGTACCACTATTTCAATATACCAATTTATTTCTTCGTCCATTGTCCAAATTATCATTTTCTACGAGTCATCAAAATCGTACCACTCATTCAAACACCAGTCCCGGGAGATTTTAAAATCTAATACCTTTTTTTTCGGGGGAGTTGACAACCCTAACCGTATCCGGCCTAGGCTAGTCCACCACTGTATGTATATTATAATTATTATAGATATCTACTATATTTGCATATTTCTTTTATGTGAAACTTTAAATTGAAATCGCATTATCAACATTTTATCAGAATTTATTATTGATATTGTTAAAAAATTTAATATTTGAAACCATAAAAATAGTTTTTCAAAAGAGAGTGTTTTTAAATTAAAATTTTACAGTTTAGTATACGAATAAAAATGCAAATCAACTATAAAATTTAGTTGCTTTATTAAATACTATCTGTTCTCGTGAATTCGCTTATATTTGCAGTAGATATCCGTATATGAAAGATTTTTTTAAATCGGTTTGGTAGTTTCCGAGTCTATTTAATGCAAACAAATATTTTGTTGTTGTCTACTAGACAACAGATGGCGCTCTTAAGTTATAAATATTAAAGGGTCGGTACAATAAGTTTTAATTTTATTTCGTTATTTGATGACGTTTTAGGAACTATTCCTTAAAGCTTACGTGATCACACCGTTGATAATATACCTATTTAATTACCTATTCGTAAGGTAAATTATACAATGATTGTCATTTTACCAAGATCTCAATTAAATGCCTTTAAAAGTAAGTATATAAAAAGGCGTTAGAGACTTTATTTTAATAATTACATTTTTATGGCATATAAAACTGACATTTATATACTTAGATTATGAAAGTTTAAAACGTTTGACTATTTTTTATTCAATATGGCGGATGTATGACGTTCTGTCAAAAATAAAAGGATTTATTTTCTTGAATTAAAGCTATACGGGTATCAAATTAAAAGTCTCGATGAGTACATAACATAAATGTATACTTCGTATAAATAACGAACTGAATTATTATATTAAATACTGATAAAATAAATACTTAACCGAAAAAAAACCTGATTGCCAAAATCGACCAATGACATTTTTGTTTAGATAAGCCAAGCCATAATTGTGTTATGTTATTTGTAGAGGGTAGTTTTCGAAAATACTGATCCAAAAATGAAAATTCGTTTTACTCGTACTACTAAATTTTCTTTATGTTTCTTTTCCATATTGTATTACATCATAGATTTACATACATTCACACTCCGACAAAACTTTGTAAGGGTCTTTCAATCACTATAGATAATTTTTCTTAATTCTGATAATATAAAATTTCACTAAAATCGCGTTAAATGTTAATAGCTGATATGTGCTAGCATTATTTTAGTTTAAGGAAAAATACTTCTATTTTGTAAAGTTTCTATCTACATCTATCTATACTAATATTATAAAGAGAAAAGATTTGATTGATTAATCTGAGAAAGCAATACAATATACTCCAATAATCTCCGAAACTATTGGACCGACTTTGAAAATTATTTCATCTACATTACAGAGAGAGTGACATAGGCTTTAATTTTCGTTGGCGAAATCATGGAGAAACAGCTACTTATTGATAAAAATAATATTATAAATATAATTCAAAAATACAGGAGAGTCATTGACCGTAACATACCCCTAGTATAAGGTATTGGATCACCAAGGCAACCCTACACGTGCAACGTACCAATCGATTGCCAACATATCGTAATTCTTATTACCAGAGCATAACAACTATTACTGATAGTAGATTCCACCCCAGCAGAGCTGATGGTTACCAACCGTGAAGCTGCTACCATAATGAACAGTCATGTTAAGTTGGCATTCCCTTACTTTTGGCGAATTGGCATCTGTACTTTATGATATTTACGTTTTTTTTTAAATATCGACGTTTCACTTTCTTATATTTAAACAAAGTTTTAAGTTTATTCTAATTCTTTGAAATGCAGTACATTAATATCTTTCTAAAACTATAAGTTTTAAGTATAATACTCACCATGTTTACATTCAATATTACAATTATTCCAAGTAATGCTGCTAGCAGATCAATTCAAGCAGAGGGTATCGGAAAACATTATTTTAACATTAGATTTGAATGATAGGCGATTATAAAAATGTGATGATTCAATATACCTTGGTGTTCATATGTTTTCATATAAACAATCATAAATTTCGTTGGAAACTGGTAAGGATGAATGAGCGTTTAACATTAAATATGTAAATGAAATATTTCTTAAACAGTTAACAGATCTTAGGGTAGGATATTTTTGAAAACTTGTGATGTTAATATTTGATCGAATTTAGTTTTTTATTAGTACTGATTCTGACAGTCCATTACAATAATTATTAACTACATTCAGTCTGTGAACATCCTATTGGAGGTATGGATTCAGCAAGTTCCATCACTTGTAAATATTTATGTAATTATCGCATGATAATTGCTTTACAATAATGCGTTCTAGTTACTTTACTTATTATTAGATTTTAAGAACGTATCTGTCACCATTGATTTCTAAAGACACCATTGAACTAATAATATATAACTAATATTAGGCTACATGTATATAATTCTGTAGCGAAATTCAATTACACTAGCAGAATTAGGGACTTAACTCGACAAGGGGTCTGAATTTAATTATTTTTATGTTACGATACTACCTAGGTGACGCAGACACAATTAAATAAAATTTAAAAGACCGGCTAGCGTAGTTTGTTCATTGTCTAAATCGGTCAGTGGCCTTACTCTGTGCGGAAACTGTAGTAGTGAATATTGAAGCATGAATCTATCACAATGTGACGGCAGAGCGGAAAATGGTATGCAAGTAACGAGGGACAACTCAGCTTAATATCGGTTGATATTTTGATTTATATTGTTGGGATGATTATAAATCATACCCGTTAGATATTTGGTACTATAACCTTTAATACAGGTTTACTAGCTCGAGATGATATGGAAATGTAGTTCGACTTTTTGTTCGTTTGAGAGCTAGCATATTGTTTCAATATTTACAACCTTGAGTTTTGTAATGTGATGCCAGTGCAATAAAATTATTGACGCAGAATACAACAATGTATGGACGGTTTGTTTATTAAACTCTTATTTAATTAATTATTCTTAAATAATTAAAGAAAAATATTTTCTTTCACTAACTAAACCAATTCTTAAAAGATTCAGAAACGCATGTCTTTAAATTGTGTATACAATATATACAATATAGTAAAATATTAAACTAGAAATATGTTTGGAATATGGCGAAAGTATGAAATACAAAATAGGTTCTCTTTATAAATAACTGCAACTCTCAATGTGACAGCTAGATAAGTAGTTTGTAAGAGTTCTATTGTATGAGTTATGGAATGTGGTAAGGTTTATTTCTGTGACACTTTTACTCGTAAAACAGTTGTAACAACTTACATAATGTTTTAAGGAAGTATATAATTACACGCAATGAAAATACTTTAATAAAGTTAATAGCTTTAGGACTACATTAAGAATTTTGAATTGAGGTGTTATGTAAACTTTTGATTAAGATAGATCAGGCAAAAGTTCAAGAGTTGAAGATCTGGGACTGATACTGTCCGTCTGTGAAATCTTTAGACTAAGACTGGAAATTACCTTTAAATCATTATCAGATATCGTGTGTCGACAACAAGTGTTACAGAACACCATTCCGCGTAGCATGACAAACTCGAGAAACGCTTTGTCTACACTCATTTGTCAGTTTCTCGGGTCGAGAGTGAGATATCGTATGGGTGCAGCCGAGAAAATGACATTTGAGTGTAGATAAAACCTTCTCGAGTTCGTCATGCTACGCGTGCAGCAGGCCATTACCTGGAGACTCGATCGTCCAACTCTCTAGTCTTGATTTTAGCTATAGGATACGACATCTTAGCGATGTTATGGCGGTATTTCGTTTCATGTTACTATTTTGAAATGTTGTTTGGTAGATAAATCGTATATCGACGTACGACGAGGCATCGATAATATAGAATAATGGCTAAAAAGTTTGGCGGCTACACACCTGACGTACCAATAAATAATAAATAAAAACAAGGAATACCAATGCACCTAGACCTGAAACAAAAGTTCGCCACAGAAATGGCGACACCTTAAAACCAGCTTGCGAGTCACTAGGCCACGGAAGTCGTCCAACTTATGTAGGTAGTAGGTACTCCATAATGTGACCACATTATAGTCATGGTGTTGTTATTATCTAATCGATGTGACTTAATTTATAAAGTCTTGTTAGCTTATAGATATAGTAAAGTTTTTTTCTATGACAAATAATTAAACAAAGTTATTAACTAAAAAAATAACTCCAATCTAAAGTTATCTTTATAGAAAAGCCTATCGAATCCATAAAATTCTCATCCAAATTAGTCTGATTGTTATAGATTAAAAGTTATCTTATCAATATATTTGCAACAAGCAAGGTAATATTAGTAATGTTAGATATCTTTATAGAGATATATATGTACTCACTTATGAAATCGATCTGTCGTCATTATTATAATTGTTCCAATTTCATAAACATTTAAAACACTAAAGCACTTTCTCAAAAGTTTTACTTTTCATCTCATTTTTTGACAATTCGTTCACATTACCACCGCGAAATTGATAACATGGGAAAGTTTAGTTTCGTTACACTTAACTGTATATCTTATTAAGTTGAAACTTTATTATGCAAATATGTATTAATTAAGTAAATATTAGATAATAATGTATGTCTTTCTAATGATCACACAAACACTAGTAAAACGTGTAACAATAACAAACACCTGTCTGCCCACTTCACTAGTTACTAGTATTACTGAATGAATGTTGATTGGCTGGTTGCGTTTCGTTAAGTTGCAAAGGAAATATGAAAAAACAAGGGAATGAGCGGTGAACGAACTTCAATGCATTGACCTGCTCTGACGCTTCTGCCCTCTGAGGTAAATTTATGGAACTATTATTAGCGCCATCTATGGTGGAGTAGATGAAGTAATATCTTACTTAATAACTTAGCTCATTTTGTACAGAGGACGCTACTATGTTGTTTTTCAGCCTATTCATTAATTAATATTTTATTTTGTTGTACTCAAAAATTATTGATAATACGGAACTTTTGTGGATAAGACCAGCTGTAATCAAACATTAGTTTTTTCCAGCAAACCTTTGAGTCATCGTGAAGTATCAATTAAAATTATTATTGTAAAGTCATTTATGGGAACATTATGAGTGGATTCAAACTGAATCCAGCTAAACAAAACATTTATTTACGAAAAAAAGGATGAATTGAAAGATATCGCATGTCCTAAATTCTTAATTGCAATAGGTAGGTTTAATGACACTTAAGTAAATAGATAGGTATCTAACGAAAGTAAAGTATCTTTTCAACATTTGACCTTATATCGTTTAGGTGTTCATTTTCATTATAAATAGGTACCTAAAAATATTTACCTATCAAGTACTGCCTGATATCAAATGCATTTAAGTATAAACTATCTAAAGTGCTTGTTGTGAAAGCTGTAAATTATATTATCACCGTTATTAGTATGTGAAAAATAATTCACTATGCAGATAACACGTTATAATGAATAGATACTTAATTGAAGCCGCTCAGCAAACATTGCTCCATTAGAGCTTTATCGCGTAATGTGATTCGCATGTAGCTTTCAACGCATCCAATCTATCGGTATCAAACTAATAGATCTATCTACTTATTATAAAGTTCAAAAGTTTGTTTGTTTGTTCATTTGAACTTATCTCAGAAACTACAGGTTCGAATTGAAAAAATATTTTTGTGTTGAATACTCCCTATATTAAGGAAGGCTATAGGCTATATAATATCACGCTATGGCTAATAGGAGTGGAGCAACAGTGAAAAATGTTGAAAAACGGGAAAAGTACGCAAGCGAAGTCGCTGGTGGAAGGGTTATTAATAATATCGGTAAAAGTCTATTATCATCAGAGCCTTTGATGTCAATACTTTGACATGCTTATATGCCGCTGACATGACTTGAGATTGCACGTACACAAATAAAAATCGGCGAAGTGCGAGTTGGATTTCCGCACGAAGGGTTCAGAACTATACGTATCTATAAAAAAACACAAAAAATCATGTCTGTTGTAATATATTCTTGTAGGAATATGCTATTTTTGTTAAAAATTGTTTAAAATGTAACATCTGTATCCCTGGCAAACTATCAAATATGATATATACATTTGATAATGTTGTTGTACGTTTAATATTTATTAAAGTATGGATTATTATTATTTTTAGTTACCAAATCTTCTTCTATAGACGAGAAAAAATGTCTTGCCAAGTGTAGGGTTAAACCATTATCCGACCAAATTATGTTCGCACGTCTCAGTTTGTCGTTTTTGAAAAACGGCGTAGGTTTTATATATTGGGTAGGCCCTAAACATATATGAAGGTAATTATCATAAATTATTTAAGAAATAGAGCATAGCGCTCAGCGTAATTGTTATGATTTAGTTGGAAATAAGTAACAACCGTACCAAAACAAGACCAAAAGTGTTCTACGTTACCTACATTAACTTCCAGTCTTTGATTTTTCATTTCACGGCGTCGCTCAAAAAGAAAAACTCGGAAATATTTGCCGCGGGCGCGACCCAATCGGCCGACGGATCGGCTGCAGCGCTTTGGAATTTTAAACAGGATCCTGGATCATTTTTATTATATTAGATCTTGTTCACTCTGATTTGTGGTCAATCATTCATACAGCCTTTGTTAAAGTGGTTGTTGTGGTAATTATGTACTCAAAATCCTTAGGGCTTATTTTTTTCTAATCAAACATCAAAAAGGTTTACATTTATTTCTTAACACAACCTCTGACTTATAGACACAAACATCAGAACAATAGCAATTATTAGAGAACGGTCATAATTTCCATAGGATAACACATCAGTGGAAATTGTCTTGAATAATTAGGCCACTGGCCACTAATAAGTGGATTGTGATAGATTTTGGAATAAGACAAATAGACCCCTGATTGTCTGTGTTTAAAATCTGTTACAATCTCTTTCAAAAGTATAACGGTTGTAAAAGTGATTTATGAAATTGTGTAACATTTTAAGTATGTATGCACATGCTGTGTGTAAGTATGCAAATTCATTTAAATTAAAATCATTTATTCAGTCTAAGTTTATACATAGCACTTGTGAAAGACGAAAACTACGCCAACGGTTCACAAAATTACAGCGGGAGACCTTGTACTGAGAAAAACCGGCAAGAAACTCAGCAAGGGCTGTTTTTTTGTCTCCCTGTTTTATTTCATACAGAGTCGTCTTATTGAAAAGTGACTTCATTAGACTATGAATTCACTTTCCATTACAATATCAGATATAAGAAGACAGATATTTTCGATTAGTGATTAATATAATAATAAATCAATATTCAGTATAGATAATAAAAGAAATAGGACGAAATTAAGTAGTCCAGAGCAGACTCATCCCTAATGGTAGCACCCGTTCAAGAGCATGATGCATGAGCCAGCCATCGCTTCGCTTGAGCGAAAATATGATTGACCATATTTTAGGGAATGTAACGACCCGACGCACACGACACAACCGCAGAGATTTTTAAGAGAGCGTGACTGCTCTAGGTACTATGGCAACTTAGTCTAATGGTGGAGGTGGGTGGCGCAATGAAAAAACTGGTAGAACTCCTCAGTCTTGATATATTTTCAAATAGTATATACATTAAATCACTTACAACCAAAAACTATGATGCTCACTCTAAGCTGGTCTCGATCAGAAAGAAAGACTATTCACCAGCAAAACACGAACACGCGAATTCGAATATGAAAAAGGAATAATTTAAAATATTAACGGCCAGCACTTGACCATAAACCATCCGAAGAGTAAACCCTACCTATAGAAATGTGCTCGGACGTTACAGTACTTAACTTATGCAGTGAATTAAGGAAGCTAGTTCTAAGTATACATAGGTGCAATATTAATCATATTAGGTTAAAATATCTAACACCATGCCTTTTTGACATCTATTTCTTTAACAGTATAATATCCTTTACTTTGTTGAAAATTTTTAATACGTCTTTGAAAAAGATTTATTGGCGAATCTAAAACATCACTGGGATCAAATTAAAGGGCTTTATCTAAACATATATAACTACGGTTTTTCCGCGACTTCGACGTCGTAAATTACAGTCTATCCCACCCACATATATAATATAGCTTCTTGTCATCACCATCATCAGCTTATTACACCACTGTTGCGGGTCAGGCTTGCCCTATAGATAAAATCCAAACAAATCAAATAGTAAGAATGGGCTTTAAGCCACCACGCGAGCCCAATGTGAATCGGTGAGTGTTAACTACTGAAGATGCAGCCGCAACTAACCGCTTAACTTGCCTTCCGACGAACCACGGAGGATCTTGAGATTGTAAATTTTTGGTCACCCATCCCATGACCGGCCCTAGTGGAAGTTGCTTAATAACCGTATCATAGACCGAGCACACTAACCACTGCGCTGTCGAATTTCCGTACGTGAAAGAATTTTTAAAATCGATCCGGTAATATCGGAGTCTTTTCAATGCAAACAAACCAATAAACAATTAAATATTTCACCTTTATAATATAAGTACTTACAAAATACCATTCACAACTTAAATGTGTTGCTTATAGCGAAACTCGCAAAAGCTGCAATAATATTTTTTTCAATATAAAAAAATCAAATAATAATTATTTTATGAGCTATCTTAGGCATTTGATTTGGTTAAGCATCGGATTTCGTCGTGTAAATTAAATAAAGTGACGAGATTGGGTGTTGCTCTAAAACGAATGCTGCCTTATCTCGATTTCGGAAGTCAAACTGTAGATGTAAATAGTACGAAATCACCTTGGTCAAAGTAGACCTTC